AAAGAAAAGAAAAGAAAAGAAAAGAAAAGAAAAGAGGGGAGGGGTGTAAGTAAGTTAAAAATCTGATCTAAAAGAAAGATCCTAGCCAGGAAGCAGGCCCTCACCAGACACAGGATCTGTCAGTCCCTTGATCGAGGATTTCCCAGCATCCAGAACTGTGAAAAACAAATGTTTGTTGTTGAAGCCACTCTTGTCTATGATAATTTGTTACAGCAGCCTGAACTAAGGAGGTAAATTCTGGAAGAAACTGCTAAGGGCAGATAAGAATGTGAGCGGAGGTGGGGAGAGGGGAGGCTGTGGGTGTTTTCTGCAACCTTGGGACACCATTTGACTTTTAAAACTATCTGCTTGTCCTACACCTTGATTTGTTTCAAGTTACTTTAGTTTCTCAAAAATAAACATTGGGGTACCTGTACAGGAAGGTCTCGCCAATTCGTGCAAGTCCCGTATGTGGCTCATATAAATGAGTAGAACATCTGAACGGTGTGAATTTGAAATGAATACTGCTCTTTTTCTTTTCAGCTTCACACAGTAGGTAATCCAGAGCAGGCTAACAGTTTTGCCAAGGGGATAAGCAAGGGCAAGAAACAAAGACGGAATGGTGGGAGTGTAGAGCTTGCAAAGAACTCCCAAGTTTCTGACCCAGAGCACTTCCTGTACAGACTTGTAAACAGCCCCAGAGGTGTCGTGCAAGCCCACATCTGTGGGTCCTAACCAGCACAGCCAGGACTCCCACCCAGGACGTGTTCTCTGTGTAGCCAGAGCACCTGAGCCCCCCAGAACCACTGTCCAAAGACTGTGCCCAGTGACAAGAGTCTTCCAGAACAATGACCTGGCATGAGGACAGAGTGGAGGGAGAGGAAACAAAGGCACTGGGAAAATTTGTTCCATACATGCCTAAAACCCTTGAGAGGGGCATCAGAAAAGCCACATGGACTATGGCATGTCTAGAAGGCTCACCCCAGGGGCATCCAGGTGGCTCAGTTGGTTGAGCGTCCAACTCTCCATATCAGCTCAGGTCAAGATCTGAAGCTTGTAGGATTGAGCCCCACATCCAGCTCTGCACTGAGTGTGAAGTCTGGTTGAGACTTTCTCTCTCTCCCTCCCTCTCTGTCTCCCTCTGCCCCTTCCCCACTTGCTCGTGTATGCGCTCTCTCTCTCTCTGTCTCTTTCTCAATAAATAAATAAACATTAAAAAAATAAAAGGCTCATTCCATATGCCTAAACTTTTTGTGAAAAAATTGGAAACTTTACAGATCTAACCCCAAAGTCTTTGGCTCAGATTGGAGCTCAAATAAACATGGGCACGGCCACCCCACCCCAGGCACAAGCCCCTCCCTGTGTGGAAACAGGTTCATCCCAGTGCACGAGCTCCAGCCATAACTAAATGCCCCAATTTTCAAATAAAAGGCACTGGACTCAGACATGGAGTAGAATTTTGTCCTGCAGAGCACTTTGTTGTTTAGTGACACCTATTTAAAACATCTGAGGACACCTCTTTTCCAGGGGGCTTCAGGGCCCATTTAAAAGCCACAACAGGAATGTGGGCCTCATGGCTTTATCAGCAACCTCTGCCTACCCACCTCTCTCTGAAGCAACATGATGTAGATAATGCTTCCTGGCTGTTTGCACACAGCAGGCCTACCTCCAAGGACTGATCTGACGCCGTAGAAGGTCCATAAAACAAAGAATGAGCTGTAGAATCCACGTGGAATTCTGAACCAGAAGTTCTAAGACGATTTTGACCATGGCGTCAGCAGGGGCCTGAGTGCTCAGCTTCCCAGCCAGGCCGCCATCAGGAAATGCTCCGCACACACGTCAAATGTTGGCTCTGCTGAGGCTGCTCAGTACCTGGTGCTGGCCCCAGGGCTGGAGGCCAAGCCCTGTGCCTCGACCAGAATGAGGAAGGTGAGGTCGTGTCCCCGCAGCAGGCAAGGGGACAGAAGGGTAGCTGCGGCCCTGGAGACAGACTCCAGGCTCATGGCCCCGCTCCTCATCTCCCCAGCCAGCTGACCTTGGGACCCAGTGCCCAGGGCAGTAACCGTGTACCCACCCCCAGGAGTGACTAGCAGATACGATGAAGCAACGTATAAAAACCCCAGTGACTGGCACATAGAAGGTTCTCAGTGTGAGCCGAGACCACCAAAACCCAACCTGAATGGACAGGAGGCCGTCACTCCCTTTGTTGATCAGGATTGTGTTGGTTTGCGCCCTGGGAGCCTTCCCGGGGGAAATCTGAAACAGGCCCATGCCAGGGGGCTGGGGGAGCTGGGAGAAGAGGGAGGCTGCTCAGGTAGGTAGGTGCCAGCCTAAGAAGCAAGGGGACTTACAATGAGGCGGGTCTTGGGCGCCACAGGACAAGCACAGCTTGGCATCCACCACCAGAATGGTAGAAGTTTGTGGAGAGGCCATAACTTGAGTTCGGTCATATCCACTGTCCAGAAGGTCTCAGCTACACCTTCCTCTCAGGGCTGCATCCTTGCAGACGGCTCGCAGTGGGAACAGCAGGACAGTGGATGGAACATACGTTCCAAGCTCAGGACAGGAGGAGCCTCTGATTGTCCAGGGCCAGCTTGTGGACCAACCAGTGGTCACATTCTCTCGTGACCTCCTCCAACAGACAGGCCATCCTTTTGTTTCAGAAATGCTCACCTGTGGTGCAAAGTGCCACCCCAGACCCGCTGAGCCTTTCACGAAATGTAGGCACATTGCGGTATCTTCCTAAGACCCAGACAAGCTTGAATCCCAAAACCCACCTAGTCCTAAGGGCCCAAGGCCCTAGTTAAAGAAATGTAGATCTGTATTATGTTACATCCCAGAACAAAGAACCTCCTAGAACCCAGAAAGGAATGATAATTCCAAGATTAGTAGTTATCCAAAGGAAGGAGAGATTAGTTACTGGGAAGGTCCTTGAGGTGGGCATCCTATCCCTGGGGTGGGGGCCTTCCCTACCCTCCACAGGCAGTGGGCAGTGTTCTCGTTACCGGTTGTGGAGACACACACTGACCGTGTACCAGGCACGACTGCTGCCTGATTTCAACTTTGCAACGATCCCAGGGGTGCGAGGAGCCCACAGGAAAAGTCAGGCTCAGAGAGGTGAAGTGTCTGGCCCACAGCCACACAAGGAAGACAGGACAACCCAATGTGTTCCCTCGGCTCTGTGCTCCCCAGGCCCTTTGCACCGTATCCTGCACAGCTCTGCCCAGCCAGCCCCCTTGGTCCTGTTCCACCTGCCCCTACCATGCCGACCACAGGCTCCTCCAGCACCAGGCCAGCTCCTTGGCCCCTGCAGGGGTTCCCTGTCATCTGCACAGCCGCCTTTCCCAACCCACTTGTAAAGTAGCATCCATGCATGCACACGTGCACCCACATGTGCCCACAGGCACCCCAGCACACTCGGGGCCCTGGCCCCGTCCACTGTCTCTCCAGGGCTCTGGCCACCAGCAGACGCGTTATACTTTCGGTGGTTGTCTCACTAGGACGCGTGTGCCAGGAAGGGAGGGCACACTCCCAAGGAGGTGGGTTACCGACCCTGGGGCAGGTGGGGCCAGGGGCTGGAGAGCGTGACGGTACACACTATGGACACCCAGATTCAAGCAGCCACTTCCGAGCCACAGCGGCAGAGCTGACCAGGTGCAGCAGAGGCCGCCTGGCCCATGGAGCTGAAATTACTTACCATCTGGCCTCTTCTAGAAAACGTGCGCCAGCCCCCCATTTTACGCAGCTGCTGGTGCAGCATGTGCCAACGTGACGGTCGTCAGAAGTGAAGGGGCAGCTGAAGTGGAGTATTATTTGACCGTAACAAGGAAGGGAGCACTGACGCCGGCACGACACGGATGAACCTGGAGGACGCGAGACCGAGTCTAAGAAGCCAGTCTCAAAAGGCCACGTGCTATACGACGCCATTTATGTGAAACGCCCAGAACAGGGAAACCTGTAGACAAAGCAGATCAGCGGTGGCCGGAGGCTGGGGGAATGGGGCAATGATACCCTTCACCGTCAACGTTCTGAAACTCACCGGAGCGATGCTGGCACCACCCGCGAGTACACCAAAACCACTGAACTGTGCGCTTGCCACAGGTGACTTGTGTGAGTGGGAATCACATCTCAGTGAAGGCGTTTTTTACAAGTGAAGGGACCCCAGGAATTCAGAAAACAGAGCCCCGCTGGGTTTCCTCCAGCCTGAGATGACCGTCTGGGTGTCCCCAGCCGGGTCTCGGGTTCAGGAGGGAGAGCTCCAGGCCGTGCACTCGGCAAGAGTCATTCTGTACGGAGGAACCCCGACCCGCCTACCGGCCCAGGCTCAGCTTCTGGCGTGTGATTTCCAGTGGCGATCGGGACAGACGGGTACAACGTTGCCTGCAGATGCGCTATGCCTGTATTGACACAGAACCGCCAACATTAAAGCCACAGCTCACTGCCCACGGTGCCACATCCTGGTGGACCGATAGAATGTGAGCTTGCAGGGCAGAGTTAGGAATTAGGTAGACTGCCATCTTCCAGACTGGGGAGACAAACCTGTTGCTCATAGGGACAGGTGCTCCCGGGAACCATGGGTTCTCATCACCCCACGTCACGTTTAGGAGAAAGGTGAAGACATCTCTCAGTTTCATCAGCGAGTCCTGGAAGGGAAGATCCGCGGAGCACGATTCAGCTGCAGAGACAAGGAGCCGGTCTCATGAAGAAACTAAAAGAAGGTTCTGAAGGGCGCCTGGGTGGCGCAGTCGGTTAAGCGTCCGACTTCAGCCAGGTCACGATCTCGCGGTCCGTGGGTTCGAGCCCCGCGTCGGGCTCTGGGCTGATGGCTCAGAGCCTGGAGCCTGTTTCCGATTCTGTGTCTCCCTCTCTCTCTGCCCCTCCCCCGTTCATGCTGTGTCTCTCTCTGTCCCAAAAATAAATAAATGTTGAAAAAAAAAAATTAAAAAAAAAAAAAAGAAGGTTCTGGAACTGTCAGGTGGTCAAGGCCTGCCCGGACCTGAACTGCTTCCCTCAAAGCAGGGTCTCTGTCAGCACTGCTCACGTCCACTCTCTCCCTGCCTGACCCCATCCAGCCCCAGGTCCCATCGGCCCATGCCCTGCACCTATCGCCATCAGACCCGGGCCCACACCTATCTCATCCCTGCTTCCAGAACACCCCAAACTAAGGCAGCTTTGTAACAGAGCAGTCCGCAAGTGCTTTCTGTAAAAGGTCGGCGTAAACATGTCAGGCACTGTGGGCCAGTGGCCTCTGGTTCGTTGATTCCACTTCTAGAAGGCAGCCATTGGCAAGAGGTAAACTAATGAGCACAGCTGGGTTCCATAAAGCTTTGAGGACAAAAACAGCCCACGGCTGTTTGTCAACACCTGTTCTGGCTTGCCCATCCCCCCTGTCCTATTCCGGGCAGAGGGTCACCTTTGCCAAAGGCAACTCTGATCATCACACCCAGCCCTTAGCTGCCCCCGTCCCTGGGGATGTGCTTCCTGCCTTTCACACGTCTTCATGCCTGGCGGTCTCTCCAGCTGCTCCCCACTCTTGTGTCCAACACCCAGCCATCCGTCCAGTGTCAGCTAGAGGTCCCCTCTGCAGAGACGGGGCCCCTGACACCTCGTGAGGGCACAGCCCCCCTCACCTGCTTCCTAGCTCCCCCCACTATGCCCGCCACAACAGTGCTGTGGCTGGGGGGGTCCCCTCCGCCTCACCTGGTACAACAGCAGGAGGGGGTCTGCCTCGCCCCGGCTGTCCCCCCAGTGCCTGGCACAGAACAGGAACTCCGTAAGCACGCGGTGAATTAAGGCATCAAATGGATAGAAGGATAAGAGAATCCCAGGTCCCCGTTTGAAAATGATCCAGTACCTGTTGGTGAGGAGGAGGATGGGAGGAGGGTGGGAGGGCACAGGGAGCACATGCACAGAGCCCTGGAAACCTCTGACCTGGTTCCCGGCAGTCTGTTCTAGGAGCTCGGGGGTGGGGGTGAGGGGCAGGCCATAGGGGGTCTGTAAACCTGCAAGCACCCCTGTCCGCACCCCACATACTCAGCACTCTCAGCGCTCGGGCCACACATACCCACTCTGGCTAGATTCCAAAAGCCCATAGAGAACAGACCTGGACCCCGAACGCCCACAGCATTCTGCCGGCGTGGACGGCTTTGGGGTCACCAGAAAAACCAGCCTTGCCCCTTGAGGAAAGAACATGGGGTTGCTGTGAGACCCGCGTCTGGTGAGCGATCAGAATGGCTGCTTCCCGGAGTGTTTGAAGAAGGCTGGGGCTCTGTCGGGAGGACACCGAGGGGCACATCTCGGTGGGGCCCCTGGTCTCTCTCAGGACACAGGTGGCTTCTTCTGGACAGACTCCCCCAGGACCACATGAGCTCACAATTCCGAGGAGGGGGGGAAAGGGGTGAGAACATTTTGTCCTCCTGTAAAAATGACAGACGAGACCCTTACGTTTCAGTGGCCCCGACCCAGGCATCGCAGGGGACGGACTTACTTCGCTCGTGAGTTTTTCCTCAGCTGAGAAGCTACTGCCAAAAGGAAGGAGTCCCGGAACTCATTACAGACAGGGGAGGTCTTAGAAGGGAGGCCGGAGTCTCACCCTTCTCTGCTTCCTGACTCACACGTGCACGGTGATACACCCGCTCGGCCAGCTCTTGGCCTCGGATGAAAACCGGAAGGAGAGGGAAGCGTTCCCAGCACCCGCAGGACCCCGGATCCCGCACGGAGCAGGGAGGTCACCTCGGGGCGGCCAACCGCGGGTCGGTGGGTTTTGAACAGCGGTCGTCCGACTCACTTCTCCCAGCAGCCCAGGGGAAATGCTACGGGGACTACGGGGGTGGGGTTGTTAATTTAGGTCAAACCCACGTAAAATTAACTATTTTGAAGTGTACCCTTTGGCGGCACTTAGCGCACTCACGGTGCTGTGCAGACAGCACCTCTGTGTCACTCCGGAACCTTCTCATCACCCCCAGAAGGAGGCCCGACCCCTCTAGGGGCCGTTCCCTCCCTGCCTCCCCAATCCCTGGCAACAGGGCTCTGCTCTCTGTCCCCACGCATCCGCCTGTTCTGGACATCTCACGGAACTGCAGTCACACCCCACGTGTCCTGTTGTGTCTGGTCTCTCTCTCTCTCTCTCGGAGCACGTTTCCAGGTCCGTCCCTGCCGTAGGATGTCGTCAGGGCTTCGTTCCTTTTCACGGTGGAAGAGTACAGGCTCCCTCTTCCTCACCCCGCAGCTGCAACTTTTTAAAAAAGCATCAGGGCAAAGCAAGAAAGGACAGCGTGCACGGGGTCACCCACAGCCGCCCTCACACCTTCTGTCTCCCCAGAGGAGCAGGAGGAGTGAGAGGCAGCCTGGAGGGCAGGGCTGGTGGGGGGCAGGAGGGGGCGGGAGGCCTGGTGGCTGGGAGGCTGGGAGGGTGGGTGCGCGGGGCACCGGAGGCACGTCCCCACCGTGCGCTGACCTTCACGCCCATGGCCCAGAGCAGGACACACTGCCAGACGCTCAGTGGCCCCCCGGCCGAAACACTTGGGTCTTGCTGAGCCAGAGAAGCCAGAAACCCCACGGCCCTGGCCCTGGTCCTGGTCCCAGCTGCGCGGGGCTCCGATCCTTTCTCACAAGAATGGGTGAGTCAGGCGAGACCGGGGGCTCCGAACCTGGGGAGAAATGAGAAGGTCTGGGAACTTGATCAGGAAACAGCACATTCCTTCCCGCACACCCCTCTGCTTGTTCAATGTTTCAATGTCCCAATCACGGGTGGAGGCCCCCACCCAGTGGAATCGTGGGTATTTCCATGGCACCTGCCAGGTGGCGCACGCACAGCAAAATATCACTCTCCCTGGTCGTTATTTCTAGACGTAGGTGTTTCTTAGACCCGTCAGCACACCATGCGAGTGAACACATTCAAAAAGAAGCACATTTAATAGCCAAAAGGTAGAAACAACCCATATTATCTATCAGTCAGGGAACATGGAGAGCGCAACAGAATCGTATTTGGACGTAAAGGAAGGAAGTTCTGATACCTGCTCCCTCGTGGCTAAACCTTGTCAACATGACGCTCAGTGGAAGAACCCAGTCACAGAAGTCCAATGGGTGGGTCCATGGAGAAAGACTGGCAGTTCCGGGAGAAGAGAGGAGTGGGGGAGACCCGCTCATGGGGCTCAGGCAGCCGCAGTGGAACCACGAGTAGGGATGCTTGCACAATATTGCGAAGGCACTAAATGCCACTGAGTCGTGTGCTTTAAAATGGTTCATTTGAAGGGCTCAGTCGGTTGAAAGTCTAGCTCTTGGTTTTGGCTCAGGTCATGATCTCACAGTCGTGGGACTGAGCCCCGCCTCAGGCTCCTTGCTGAACACAAAGCTGGCCGGAGATTCTCTCTCTCTCTCTCTCTCTCTCACTCTCTCTCTCCCTTTGCCCCTCTCCCCCATTGTGCTCTCTCCCTCTCTCTCTCTAAAATAAAATTAAATTAGAGGCACCTGGGTGGTTCAATTGCTTAAGCATCCAACTTCGGCTCCAGTCATGATCTCACGATTCATGAGTTCAAGCCGGGCTCTGTGCTGACAGCTCGGAGCCTGGGGCCTGCTTCGGACTCTGTCTCCCTCTCTCTGTTTGCCCCTCCCCTGCTCATGCTCTGTGTCTCTCTCTCTCTCAAAAATAAATAAACGTTTCTAAAACTTTTAAATAAGTAAAAATAAAATAACTTTTTTTTAAATTTTAGTCTTAAAAAGATAAAATTAAATGGTTCATTTTACGTTGTAAGAATTTCTCTTCAACAAAAAAAGCACATACAACAATGCCTCATTTTTTTAAATATCTTGATCATTATATTTTAATACTATAACCCTCGGAAATTTCTTTCATGGATTTAAGACTATTTCTCCGAGAAGGATCTGCTGGCTTCACCAGATGCCAAAGGGCTTTGGTACAGAAGGATTAGAACCCCCTGGACTGGAGCTCTCCCTGGCCTGCTGTTCCTACTATTCTTACCTGGACAGGTACTGCCCCCTGCCCCTCCCAGGTGGCACCGTGTGAAAAGCCCTTGCATGCCCTTCATCACCACTTGGTCTTCTGCTCAGTACAAAGGCTCTGCAATCTCCAGAGTCCTCTCTAAAAATGCAGGTGTCCCAGGAAAGGTGAAACTCAGCAGTGTCACCAGGGTGAATCTGCAGACAGGTGAGACTGGGCCGGGACACGGGTAGAAGATGGAGCTGGAGGGCACCGAAGCAGCACAACATGAAAGGGGAGGCAGACAGGGGACCCAAGGATTCACAGGCTGCCCTGCTGTGACCTCCAGGTGCGCCCAGGGCCAGTCGCCCAACAGGGAACATCACATCACCCTGCACCGCCCGGGGTGGGGACAGAGTGCCCCGGCACCTCTCCCTGAGCCCACCCAGCGATGAGCCTTCCTCCACGCCACTCCCAGCTGAAGGTGCAGCCGCCCCACCACTGAACGCAGATGCTGGCCGAGCAAACTTGACTCGAGGCTTCAAGTCCCCTGTCTGCTTCCTGCTCTCCTGCATCTGCAATCCGAGGGAGCGGTACCTGCCAACCCTCCACCGTGCACCATGCTAGGTGGCCCGTAGGCAAGGATTTCACGTGGTCCTTCCCACAAGCCTGCGCCGTAGGCACTGTTACGGATGGAGAAACTACAGATCACAGAGGGACTTGAACCCGAGACCTGCACTCTCTCCTGCATCCCCCTCCTCCCCTGAGAGCATCACCCCTGTCTCCAGAGTCCTCTTGCTACTGAATCATGCTCTGGGCCTAGACATGAAGCTGTAGACAGGAGCGCTTGTTCTAGACAAAGAGGCAGAAAGGAAACCTATAGACAAGAAATTCCACAAGGTAATCTCAGGCTGCAGTAAATGCTATCCAAGTCAAGACCGTCTCAGCTCCGCCGCAGGCACAAGTAAACCCTGAAAGCTCAGAGCTTAACCGAAAGATCGTTTCTCACCTACAATCAGCGTGGCCCCTCTCTGCGACTCTCCTCCCATCAGGGACTCCAGGATCCAGGCTCCTTACGTCCTGGGCTCTTCAGCTAACAGAGGTGGTCGCCTCGGTCACTGTAGAAGAGGAATAGAGAGTGTGGGCCATCCCACAAGAGGTTCTGTGGCAAGGTCTGGAGGTGGCGTGTGTCACTTCTGTCCACAACCCACGGGCCCCAACGTAACTTCCAGGGAGGTGGGAAGAGAAGGTCTCCCACGAAATCCAGGAAGATGCAAGTGAAATGGAATCAGATGAGTATTGGACGTCGTACCACAAGAAGAGTAAAGGAAACAAACAGAATGACGGAACAGGAAGTGGCCGGGACGAGGGGCCCATTTTAGGTAGACAGATCAGGGGAGTGACTTTAGGGGGTGCTTTGAGGGGGCCTGGCAGGAGACAGCAAATGATTTGGTGCCAGAAAGCACTGGGTACGTTCAAGGGACATAAATGAGAAGGGCAGGGGTGAGCAAGTTTGGCCACACAAGCCAGATTGGGTGGGGAGCCCCGGTACACATCAGAGTCACCTGAACCCCTCGGAAACCTCCTGTTACCTGCACCCCCGGCTCCCCAGGGACCCCGACCTAATTATTCTGGCCTGGAGCCAGGCCTTAATTTGTTATTGCTTTTTTAAGAAAATGACACCTATGTCCCAAAGTGCATAAATCAGAAGTGTGTGCTCAATGAATAGTCACAAAGTGGACCATCCATCCGTGTACCCATCACTGAGGCCAAGAAGTAGAATATCACAGGGGCACCTGGGTGGCTCAGTCGGTTAAGCATTTGACTCTTGATTTCAGCTCAGGTCATGATCTCACACTTCGTGAGATGGAGCCCCGTTTTGGGCTCTGTGCTGACAGCGTGGAACCCGCTGGGAATTCTCCCTCTCCCTCTCCCTCTGCCCCTGTCCTGATCTTTCTCTCTCTTGAGATAAATAAGTAAACTTTAAAAAAAGAAATAGAATATCACAGACCCACAGGTGGCCCCCCCTTCTCCCCTGCCCTTCTTCATTCCCAAAGATAATTACCATTGTGTCTGGCCTGATCCTAAAGTCTGAGTGGAATAGTACAGTCTATCCCCAATTTTGTGCCTGGGTCCTTTCCTGCCACATTATTTTTGTGAGGTTCACTGAGTGTAGAAACTCTGTTATGTATTCCGTTGTATGAATGCACCACAGTTTTATTCAGCCACGCTCCTGTCGAAAGACATTTGGGTTCCTTCCCATCTGGAGCTATGAAAGATGATGGTGCCGTGCCCACTCTTGGTGTGTGTGTCTTGGTGCACGTGTGCGTGGATTTCCACCAATGGGTGTCTGGGGGCGGAGCCGTGGGGCCCCGGGGCCGCCATATGTTCAGCTTCAGCAGATCCTGTTGAACAGTTTTCCAAAGCGGCTGTTCCTGCTCACGCCTCTACCAGCAACGTGTGAAGGTTGCCATCGTCCTCTGTCTTCACCAGCCCCTGGGGTCACCAATTTACTCATTTTAGTCACCCTGGTGGGTCATAGTGGCATCCAGTTTGCATTTCCCTGACGCCTAGTAAGGCACTTTGTGAAGTACTTGTTCAAGTCTCTTAGCCGGGTTTCTACGAGCCCCTTTTTTAAGTCATATCTATTGCAATGTCTTCTCCTGCTTTGTGTTTGCCTTTCCACTCTCTTAACGGTGACCTTTGGTGAACAGACCCCTTTAGTTTTAATATAACCCCATTTGTCCATCTTTTCCTTTGTATCATGAAAATATTCCAAATTTTCTTCTATATCATCTTCTAGAAGGTAGAATTGATTTCCATGTATGGTGTGAGGTAGGGATCATGCTTCCTGTTTTTTCAGGTGGCTATCCAATTGACCCAGCACCGTTTATAGCCAAGGTCGTCCGTGCCACATCTGCAGCAGGGCCACCTTTGTCTTCTATCGTGTGTTGTTTGCCCATATGTGCTGGGCCTGTTTCTGGGCTCTCTACTCTCTTCATTGGGCCATTTGTCTAGCCTTCTATTCAAATTTTTGTAACCTCTCTTGCAGCCAGGGTTGAGAACCACTGATACAGGACCTTGTAGTTTACAGTAACAGCTGTGAGCGTCAGTCTAAATACAAGTGTGTAGACACCCAATAAGGGATTTTCAGAGAAAAATAGGTTAAATTCAGGATGTGGGAAAAGCGATGCCAGAACCATGAGGAAAGGGCCCGTGGAGTGGGTGGGGAAACTGGGTAACGGGCCAGAAGCCAAGATGCTTGGATCGATCCATCCCGCTCCCCACGCATTCTCTTATCCCCTCTCCAGACCTCCAGATCCAGCCAAGCCAGAGTGCAAAGAAGCACCGACAGGAGCAAGAAGGAAAGTTTTCTTCCTTGGTCACCGGCCGTGCTTATGGAAATCAGATCCCTCTTGCAACCACAGTTTATTCCCAAGTTGCCATGGCACTTCCTGTAATTAATGGCTGAGTTTTAATTAAACATTGATTAGCCACTAATTAGTCTAATGATTAGTCCTGGGGAGGAGACAGGGCTGTCAGACCCCATAAAGGAGGCGGGGGAAGACAATGAAAGATTATGGCTTGGGTGGAAATGTTCTCCCTTCCTCCCTCCAGGCCAAATGTTTTCTATGATTTTGGTCTATTATAAACGATGCTTTCAATGTGAATTTTTCTAATCGGTTTGAGTCTGATGAAGTCTCAGGCCACTGGTGCAAGGAAGATTGAATCTATTCGCCTTTTCATCAGATTTCAGCCTCTTAATGCAGCTAAAGAGCCTTTTTCCACTTAGAGAGGAATTAGTTTCTGTCTCCACAATGAAGTCATCCTGGGCTGAGGCCGTCTCCCTCCCACGTCCTTTGTGGGGGCCCAGACCTTGCCAAGGACTTCTGAGATGTGAGTGTAGGAGGGCTTTGCACTCAGAGCAGATCTCGCAAGCACCTGATGCCCCAGGTCACCCTCTCCCCATTCCTCACCAGTTTGCCCGCCCCTCCCACAACGCTGACTGCCTGATTTTGTTTTATTGTGAAAGCAGGATACAGTTCCAGGGGGAACTCGCTCTCAGTAAAGGATGCATGCAGCCTCCCCCGACCCTCAACCCTCAACCAAAAAGAAAGCCTGACTTTCACGTGGACCCAGCTCAGAGTGAACTGCACTTGAAGTTACCCTATAAGAAGTTAACTCTGCAGCAAATCTTCGCGGGAGTAGAAACGGTAGGATGACCTTGGTCGATCATCCCCAGGGCACCTTCTGTAAGTTTGGGTTTATGCACAACCATACAGAACTCCCTTATAGCCTTGTGCTGAGCACTAAGCATGGGAGAGAACAGAAGCATGAAACCTGAAATCCAGAAAGTCTTAGGGTCAGGGAAAGGTGCCCGCTAC